ATTCTAGAATTCTAAAATTCTAAAATTCTAAAATTCTAAAATTCTAGAATTCTAAAATTCTAAAATTCTAAAATTCTAAAATTCTAAAATTCTAAAATTCTAAAATTCTAAAATTCTGAAATTCTAAAATTTTAAAATTCTAAAATTCTAAAATGCAGTAAGGCGCGCTAACTTTAAAGGCGCATATCTCAAAAAACTAAAATAGCTTTCAAAAAGTTATCAACTGCAAAATTGCTCAGCATAAAATTTCACACATTTTTGTAATTGACAAAATCTGGATAGCTACCGTAGTTTTTGAGATATGCGGCTTTAAACGTAGCCTACTGGCTCCGCGCGGCTCGCCAGCGATAAGCACCGTAGAGGCGGTGAGAGACGCAGAGAAGCTAGAGTGCCTCGTTTCTCTGCGTCTCCGACTCCTCTTACTTTCTCAGTACTACAATAAATCCCTGAATTGCCCAAAAACTAGGTCAAATTAAGGAAAAAGGTGTGATTCAATGACAACCCTGACCACTTTTTTTGTATTTCTCTGCGTCTCTTGATCGCTAATACTCTCTCGCTCTTCTCCATTTCCATTTTCTCATTTCCATTCTAATGGCTAATAATAACACATTGAAACTGTCCGCGTAAAAAAACACCTTTTCTTTGTGTCTGCGCCTCTTCAAATTCGTACTCTCTCGCTTCAATGGAGGGCACGACCTCCGCGGACACTTTAAAGGCGCATATTTCAAAAACTAGGGGAGCTAGCAAAATTTTGTAAACTACAAAAATGTTTGAAATTGTATGCTAAGTAATATTGTAGTTGAAAACCTTTGATAGCTATTCAAGTTTTTGAGATACGCGCCTTTAAACTTGGAACGTCCTTCTGGGCGAGAGAAAGAGAGAGGAGACGCAGAGAAACGAGACTTTCTAGCTTCTCTGCGTCTCTTATCTAATATTTTCTGAATATTTCAACTATTGTCGTCTACTTAGACTTGAATTCACTATAAATCACCCGTCACACATAGCCTTCCCTTTTCCCCCGATTCTTCGCATTTCTGTCTGCGTCTCTTCAAGATCCATACTCTCTCATTTGGTCACCTGTACTTAGTTAGTACTATAGGCAAAAGAAGTGTTGTTGGGCCAGCTAGTAATACTAGTATTTTGTACTTTTTCTCTCCTTGAATGGTTTAACGGGTTTTCTAGAATTTCCAGCGTTTTTTTTTGGCTAAAAGTAGTAACCACAGTTTAAAGGCGCATATCTCAAAAACGACAGTACCTTTTCAAAAATTTCGAATTTCAAAAATGTGTAAAATTTAATGCTGAGCAGTTTTGTAGTTAGCAGCTTTTCGATAGATACCGTACTTTTTGAGTTATGCTCCTTTGAAGAAAAACTTGCTATAGAGCATGGATAGTGCCTCTAGAGGTAGTGCCGACTTTAAAAGTGCATATCTCAAAAACTACAGTAGCTAAGTCAAAATTTTCCACATACGGAATGTATAAAATTTTATGCTGAGTAATTTTGCAGTTAACAACTTTCTGATAGCTACAGTAGTTTTGGAAATATGCGTCTTTAAAGTTTCCGGCCCTATTGTGGAGTGCCACCCCTCATTTTTCGAGAGAGGGGGGGGCGGCTAAAGGAAGTGGCGACTAAATTTAAAGGCGCATATCTTAAAAACTACAATAGCTCACTTTTCTGCGCACCGCAAAAAAATGAGGAGAAAGTCAGTACATTGATGTCTAATAGAAAAGGGTCTGTAACTCGTGTCTGGAGAAAGATTTTTCGCTGAAATTTTGGGAATGGACTTCTATAAGAGTGGAGAAGAGAATCCAACAATAAAAATAAGAAAATATCTATTTTGAAAATTATGTTGTGGTGCCTAGATATGCGCCTTTAAAGTTGTCGAGCTCTCTAAGTCTCTTGGTTGCCCCTTTCTCTATTTTTTGGACTAATTTGCTAGAATTTTTCAGCATTTCTGGTTAATCTTGGTTGAAAATAACTTTAAAAATTGATTTTTCGAAAAAAAAAAATAATAATTTGGAAATATATTTTTTTGCTGTTCCACAAAAAATTGAACTAAAATGCGATTAGTTAGATTTTAGTGTACTTTACAGTAGTTTTTTCTCTAAAGACGCATATCTCAAAAACTACGGTAGCTATCAAAAAGTTGACAACAACAAAATTGCTCAACATAAAATTTTACATATTTTTGTAGCTAACAACTGTTTGCTAGCTATCATAGTTTTTGAGATTTGCGCCTTTAAAGTTGTCAAACTCTCTGCGTCTCTCAGTTTTTCCTTTTCTCTCGGTTGAACTTCCACCTAATTGATTATCACCTTTTTCGGCTATCCTCTTTTTTCCTTTCTTGTTCTTCCAAAAAGAAAATTTGGAAGGAAAAAAATGAGAAAATAAAGGAAAAAAAGTGTGTCAAATCTGTCTTTTCTGGCCGGTGTGTGCGGGATTTTTTTCCCAATTGCCTTTGGGAATTTCCGTTTTTTTCTTTATCACACGACCACCCCTTGCCGATTTATCAATTTCTTTTTTTGGGATTTTAGGATTCAATTTTTGGCCTTCTTGAAACTCAAAACTTGTATTTGTCTTGTTTCTCTGCGTCTCTTTTCATTAAAAAACGATTTTCCAACTTTAAAGGCGCATATCTCAAAAACTACAGTAGCTATCAGAAAGTTATCAACTGCAAAAATGTAGAACATAAAATTTTAGACGTTTTTGAAATTGACAATTTTTTGATGGGTACTGTAGTTTTTGAGATATGCGCCTTCAAATTTAGCTGCACCCCTCCACCCTCGAAAAAAGGTGTGAGTGCACTCCAGGGGTGCGGCTAAAGGAAGTGGCAAAAACTTTAAAGACACATATCTCTAGAACTACGGTAGTTATCAAAAAGTTGTCAACTGCCAAATTGCTCAGCATAAAATTTTTTACATTTTGGTAATTTACATATTTTTTCTAGCTACCGTAGTTTTTGAGATATGCGCCTTTAAAGAAGCCAAAGTTGAGAATGTCGCTTTTTTTGTTCAAACCCCAAATTTGTTCTTAAAAATCCACTCTTTTCAGACAAAAAACTGCTTTGAAATTTCTTATAATATTTTAAAAACATTGAGAACAGCACTCCAGAACCATTCAACCCTTTTATTTTGAATTTTTGAAACAGTAAAACCTTTTTTTTCAATTTTCCCCTTTTTTTTAGATTTTGGAATTCCTAAAAAAGAATTTCTGGCACTTTTTTTGATTTCCCAGATTTTCCTTATCAAAATGAGCTGAAAATCCAAAAAATCGGTTGATTTTGAGCCGAGTTATGCGCCTTTAAAGTTTGAAGAGAGACGCAGAGAAACGAGAGCGCTCTCGTTGTCTGTGTCTCTTCAGCGAATTTCAAAGGCGCATAACTCATTTCAACGGCAACCAAATTCGATGGAAGTTAGATAGTTTTAAAGGAAATTTCAAGAGCTTTTGAATGATATAAAAATGTAAACTTTTCAGTCTGCGAGGGAGACGCAGACAACGAAATACTCTCGCTTCTCTACGCCCCTTTTTTTAAAGGCGCATATCTAAAAAACTACTGTAGCTAGAAACACGTTGTCAACTGCAAAAAAGTGTAAACTTTAATGCTGAGCATTTTTGCAGTTGACAACTTTTTTCTAGCTTTTTTAGTTTCTGAGATACAAAACTTTTGCCTCAGCTGATATCATCCTATCAGTTGTCCCTCTTGTTATCAGTTTGTGTATTCGGTGGAAAAGTCTCCAAATATTGACTTTTCTCTCCCTTTTCCGCTTCTCTTTTTTTCTTGTAAAAAGAAAATAAATTTTCGGGGTGTGTCAGTATTTGATTCGGAGAGAAAAATGCGGATGATAGTAGCACCAACTTTTTTTTCGAAATTTTTTTCCTGCATTTTTTTTGGAATTTTTTTTTGAAATCAAGATTTTCGCAATTGAGCGCTTGGAATATCGGCAAATCTAAATTTCATTAGTCAAACTTCAAAAATTCTAAAATTCTAAAATTCTAAAATTCTAAAATTCTAATATTCTAAAATTCTAAAATTCTAAAATTCTAAAATTCTAAAATTCTAAAATTCTAAAATTCTAAAATTCTAAAATTCTAAAATTCTAAAATTCTAAAATTCTAAAATTCTAAAATTCTAAAATTCTAAAATTTTAAAATTCTAAAATTCTAAAATTCTAATATTCTAATATTCTAAAATTCTAAAATTCTAAAATTCTAAAATTCTAAAATTCTAAAATTCTAAAATTCTAAAATTCTAAAATTCTAAAATTCAAAAATCTAAAATTCTAAAATTCTAAAATTCTAAAATTCTAAAATTCTAAAATTCTAAAATTCTAAAATTCTAAAATTCTAAAATTCTAAAATCCTAAAATTCTAAAATTCTAAAATTCTAAAATTCTAAAATTCTAAAATTCTAGAATTCTAAAACTCTAAAATTCTAAAATTCAAAAATCTAAAATTCTAAAATTCGAAAATTCTAAAATTCTAAAATTCTGAAATTCTAAAAATTCTAAAATTCTGAAATTCTAAAAATTCTAAAATTCTAAAAATTCTAAAATTCTGAAATTCTAAAAATTCTAAAATTCTGAATTTCTAAAAATTCTAAAATTCTGAAAGAACCTTTTTTCTGTGTGTCTGTTTGTCCCGATTTTCGTATGATTTTCAAACCTTTAAACCGGATGTTTTCCTCTTTAAAATGTCAAATTTTCAAAAAAAAAATAATATGTATATTTTTTTCAAAAAATGACTCATTTTTCAAATATTCGGGGCTCATTTATTTGCTTTTTCCATTTCGCTCCCCACTTCAAATTTAACCCCTTATCATTGATAAAAAATCAAAATTTTTTGAGACCGGAAATTTTGAAATTTTTTGTTTTTTTCAAAAATTTCGCATTCAATTTTTTTCCAATTTTCAGAACCGAAACCATCACCCGATTGGGATCTACCCTTTATAAATCCCCAAAATCATCCGAATATCTTGCCACGTCATCAGAATCACCATCAAAAAATGTCGTCGTTGGTCCAGTTGCCAACCCAAATGCCATCAGGATTTCAGATGAATTTTGATGACGTCAGACATCATCAAATGGCTCCAGAAGTCGATTGTGAAGGTGGCACACTGACGAAAATGGAAGAGGTATGGGGTTTTTAGGAAAAAGTTACTGTTTCAAATTTTATTCAAATATCAACAAACTCTTACAGAGTTTTGATAAGCATAATCTCAAAATCATCTAAAAATTATTATTTTCCAAATTCATTTTCTAGATTCTAGAATTTCTGAGTAAAAATCAAAAATTTCAAAAAAAAAATTATTGTTTCAAAATGTTTCCAATGACCGATAGTTTTTGCACTTTGCAGTTTTTGGACTACTGGGCGAATATATTTTTTTCCCCATTTTGAGCATATTTGAGCATTTGTTCGCACTCAAATATTTCAAAATTTTAAAAGGTCAGAAAAGTAAATGTTCCTTGATTTTCTGAAACTCTTGAATCTCGGTTTCATTTTCTACTGTCGAGAAAATTTAGAAATATGAAATTTCTAGGTTACTGTAGCTCTTTAACCAATAGTCTATTGAATATTTTTCAGATAATTCGATTTTTCAAACTTTTTGAAACAATATTTTTTTTTGTGACAATTTCTTGAAGAAATAGTTTTTGAAAATTGCTGAAATCTGAAAATCAAACATCGCAGAATTGGAACAAAAATTTTCAGTCTGAAAAGTTTTCAAAAAATTTGCTGTTTCAAAAAACTTCCGAAAAATCTGAATTTCCCTGAAAAAGTTGTTTAATCGACATATTGTAAAAAATGTACAGTAATCAGAAATTAAAAAGAGTCAGAAATTAAAAAGAGTCAGAAATTAAAAAGAGTCAGAAATTAAAAAGAGTCAGAAATTAAAAAGAGTCAGAAATTCAGAAATTCAGAAATTCAGAAAATTGCAGAAATTCAGAAAATTGCAGAAATTCAGAAAATTGCAGAAATTCAGAAAATTGCAGAAATTCAGAAAATTGCAGAAATTCAGAAAATTGCAGAAATTCAGAAAATTGCAGAAATTCAGAAAATTGCAGAAATTCAGAAAATTGCAGAAATTCAGAAAATTGCAGAAATTCAGAAAATTGCAGAAATTCAGAAAATTGCAGAAATTCAGAAAATTGCAGAAATTCAGAAAATTGCAGAAATTCAGAAAATTGCAGAAATTCAGAAAATTGCAGAAATTCAGAAATTCAGAAATTCAGAAATTCAGAAATTCAGAAATTCAGAAATTCAGAAATTCAGAAATTCAGAAATTCAGAAATTCAGAAATTCAGAAATTCAGAAAATTCCAGAAATTCAGAAATTCAGAAATTAAGAAGTTCAGAAATTCCAGAAAATTAAGAATTTGAAAAATTCGACAATGACAAAAGCTCTGAAAATTGCTATCATTTCAATTTTTTCAAGAAGAAAATAAGTTTCGGTTCTAGATTTTAATGTTTCAGAGAACCTAAAAATCAGAAATTTCAAAAAAAATTGCTGTTTCAAAATTTTCTCAAAATCAAAACGTCATCAAAAAATTCAATTAACATCTCAAAATCATTGTTTTTAAAAAATTATAAAAATTATAAAAATTTCCATTTTCCCAGAGAAATTACATTTTCTCGGGGTTTCCGATACCGAAACTCCCAATTTTATGGTCAAAAATTGTCTGAGAATTGAAAATGCCAAATTCAATCATTTCTTTCTTGGGAATAAATTACTGTTTCAAAATTCTTTAAAGAATTCATTCTAATTTTTATGGGAAACATTTTTTTTGAGTTTCGAAAAATCTGAAAATCCAAATAAAAGTTTTTTGAAACAGGAAAGTTTTCAAATTTCCCTTTTTTGTCTATTTGAAGAAAAAAGCTAATTTCCTGAAGACTTTTGACCTCAAGAATCAGCCGAAAATTCGAATTTCCCGCCGAATTCGGGCTCATTTTTCAGAGTTTATTTGTCAAAAAAGTTGTCTGTTTCAAAAATTTTTTTGAAAACAAATCCTATAAATTTCAAAATTGATAGGTTCTTGTTATCATTGATTCCATTTATTTATTTTTTTTTTGATTAAATAAAAATCGAAATGTTTAAATTCTGAAAACCCCCCTACATTTTAAAATTGCTATATTTAAACACTGTAGAAAAAGAGGTGAATCAAATAAAATTGAAAAAGTCTGAATTTTGAAAAAAGTTGAAACAGCAAATCTTTTTCAAAATTTTCAAATTCCCGCCAAATCTGTAATTTTGTTTCAGATTGAAGAAATCGATCCGGCCGACGGTTGTACGATTCGAATATTCACCTATTTCATATTGCTTCCGAATAACGAGGAATTGATAAAAACGGTCCGACAAAAAGTCAAAATTGACTGTAAACAGACAATGCGAAGTGTCAGGATGGTTGGATCAGAAGCAAAAGTTTGTTTCTATTACAGTAATCCAAAAACTACTTTAAAAATTCAAAAAAAATCTCAAAAATCGGGGTCANGNCCAGCCGGGAAGCGCCCCTTNNNGGCNCNGAGGGGNGGTAGGGANNCGGGAGCGCTCNCGNTTCTCTACGTCTCTTCAGTGAACTTTAAAGGCACATAACTCGCTTCAATGACAACCAAAATGAATGAAAATTATGTAGTTTTAAAGGAAATTTTAAGAGCTTTTGAATGATATAGACTAGATGCTCTGCGTCTCCTTTGTCTCGCTGGAGGCACACAATCTTTGAAAACGCATATATCCAAAACTACTGTAGCTAGAAAAAAGTTGTTAACTACAAAAATGTATAAGATTTTATGCTCAACAATTTTGCAATTGACAACTTTTTTCTAGCTCAGTTAGTTTCTGAGATTACAAGACTTTCGCCCCATATATTAGTTCTCCCCATACTTGCCCTTAGCAAACAGACCAGCTACTTCGGAGCACTAGTTCAATTTCGAAAAGCGAGAGAGAGAGAGAGATTATGAAAAAAGAAGAGAGGGAAAAGAAAAATATACATTTTGAAAAAATCGCTTTTCGTTTCGAAATGGAAAACCAATACAGAAAACATTCGTTTTCTGACTTTTTGACACATTTTTGTTCGGCTTCAGTGTCGGTTCCCGTCGCTGTTATTTTTAAAGACGCAAATCTCAAAAACTACAGTAGCTATTGAGAAGTTGTAAACTACAAAATTGCTCAGCATTAAATTTGACACCTTTTTGTAATTAACAACTTATTACTAGCTACCGTAGTTTTCCAGATATGCGCCTTTAAAGTGTCACAGCCGTCCCAACCCCTTCTCCCTCCCTTTCTGGCCTGCAAACTTTAAAGGCGCACATCTTCAAAACTACTGTAGCTATCAAAAAGATGTCAACTACATAATTGCTCAAAATAAAATTTTACACATTTTTCTAGTTGATGACTTTTTTCTAGCTGCTTTAGTTTTTATCCAATGCGCCTTTGAATGTTTCTATAGTTTTCAACTTCTCTTATTGTCGTTTCTCTCTTTTTGAGTCGTTTTTTAGAATTTTCTGGATTTTTAGCTGTTTTTTGTTCAAAAACACTAAAAAGTTAGTTCTTTAAAGACAAAATAATATGGAAAAATAAATTTACTAGCTGTTTCAAAAAAAATTTGAACTAAAATGCGATTTCATCAACTTCGGTAATTTTTCCTTGCTCTTTTAAAGGCGCATATCTCCAAAACTACAGTAGTTATCAAAAAGTTGTCAATTACAAAATTGCTCAGCATAAAATTTGACATTTTTTTGTAGTTTGTATTGTTGCCGAAACTATTTTAATATTTGAGATATGCGCATTTAAAGTGACACAGTCGCATCACCCCCTCACCCTCCCTTTCGGCCCTCAAACTTTAAAAGCGCATATCTCAAAAACTACGGTAGTTATCAAAAAGTTTTCAATTACATAATTGCTCATCATAAAATTTCCCGCTTTTTGTTAGTTTACAAATTTCGCCTAGCTTCCCTCGTTTTTGAGATATGCGCCTTTAAAGTGTCACAGCCGCCCCACCCCCTCACCCTCTCTTTTGCCCCGCAAACTTTAAAGGCGCATAACTCAATAACTACGGTAGATATCAAAAAGTTTTTAATTACATAATTGCTCAGCATAAAATTTCACAAATTTTTTAGTTTGTAGTTTTCTCCTGGCTATTTCAGTTTTTGAGATATGAGCTATGACAAAAAAGTCAGTGGAGCAGAATGAGAGAGTGGGAGACGCAGAGAAAAAAAAAGAGAAAAGAAGAAACATTTTTATTCATGTATTCACATCAAAATCTCCCGTTTTCCTCCCCATTTTCCATTAAACAGCCCATTCCAGGTCACATAAAAAACGGGTCGTAAAAAAGTGTTTTACGCTTTTGTCCCCAAACTTTTTTCGAGAATTTTCTAGAACTTTTTTCTCTCTGGCTTAGAGAAAAAATGGCAAAAATGCCCGAGGAATTTAAGAAATTGTGACCTGGAAAATTGAGAAAAAATCCGAGTTTTCTGGAAATGTGAGTAATTTAAGAATTTCAGAAAATTCTAAAATTATGAAATTCTAAAATTCTAAAATTTTAAAATTCTAAAATTCTAAAATTCTAAAATTCTAAAATTCTAAAATTCTAAAATTCTAAAATTCTAAAATTCTAAAAAATTCTAAAATTCTAAAAAATTCTAAAATTCTAAAAAATTCTAAAGTTCTAAAATTCCAGAAAATTCTAAAAATTCTAAAATTCTAAAATACTAAAATTCTAAATTCAAAATTCCAGAAAATTCTAAAATTCTAAAATTCTAAAATTCTAAAATTCTAAAATTCTAAAATTCTAAAATTCTAAAATTCTGAAATTCTAAAATTCTAAAATTCTAAAATTCTAAAATTCTAAAATTATGAAATTCGAAAATTCTAAAATTATGAAATTCTAAAATTCTAAAATTCTAAAATTCTAAAATTCTAAAATTCTAAAATTATGAAATTCTAAAATTATAAAATTCTAAAATTCTAAAATTCTAAAATTATGAAATTCTAAAATTCTAAAATTATGAAATTCTAAAATTCTAAAATTCTAAAATTCTAAAATTCTAAAATTCTAAAATTCTAAAATTCCAGAAAATTCTAAAATTCTAAAATTCTGAAATTCTAAAATTCTAAAATTCTAAAATTCTAAAATTATGAAATTATGAAATTCGAAAATTCTAAAATTATGAAATTCTAAAATTCTAAAATTCTAAAATTCTAAAATTATGAAATTATGAAATTCTAAAATTCTAAAATTATGAAATTCTAAAATTCTAAAATTCTAAAATTCTAAAATTCTAAAATTATGAAATTCTAAAATTCTAAAATTATGAAATTCTAAAATTCTAAAATTCTAAAATTCTAAAATTCTAAAATTCTAAAATTCTAAAATTCTAAAATTCTAAAATTCTAAAATTCTAAAATTCTAAAATTCTAAAATTCTAAAATTCTAAAATTCTAAAATTCTAAAATTCTAAAATTCTAAAATTCTAAAATTCTAAAATTCTAAATTCCAAAAAATTCCAGAAAATTCTAAAATTCTAAAATTTTAAAATTCTAAAATTCTAAAATTCGAAAATTCGAAAATTCGAAAATTCTAAAATTCTGAAATTCTAAAATTCTGAAATTCTGAAATCCTAAAATTTCAGGTCACTGAAAATTGTCAGCGAATATCCGGAGACATCAAAGGAATGCGTCCCGTCGAATTTTCAAATAATTCGAGACAAATTTGTCTGGACCAGCACAATTTACAGTTGGATTTGAGCGATGAGCAGGTACAGTAATCCTTTTCGGAAATTGAGATTTTTTGGGGAAGAAGGAACTACAGTAATCTAGTCCTTGAGGTTGGAGGGATTCTAGAAAATTTGGATTTACAGTAATCTAGACTTTTTTGTAATTTTGAAATTGTTGTTTCAAAATTTTTTGGAAAAAAACATTTAGAAATCTTTTCAATGAACCTCTTCGATCAAATTTACATAATCGTGAAGCTACAGTAATCCAAAAAGCCGTTTTCCATTTTTTTTTTCGAATTTTTTTAGAAGTTACTGTTTTAAATTTTTTTGAAATATTCAAAAAATTAACTTTCTTTGCTGTAGTTTTTTGAAGATTTTGGCGATTTTAGGACAAATAGACACACGGAAAGACATTTTTAAACAACCGTAGTGTCACAGTAATTCCCCAAAAAATAGTTTTCTTAGCTTTTACCGTTTCCAAGTTTTTTGAATTTTTTGGGAAATTTTCATATTATAATCCTGAAGCTGCTATATCGTCACAGTATCAAAAAAAAATACAGTAATTCCAAGAAAAGCCAAAAAATATAATTACAGTAGTCTCCAAACTACAGTAATCCAAAAAAAGGGGTTTTCCGAATTCTCAAAAAAATTACTGTTTCAAATTTTTTTGAAAATTTTGGAAACTGTTCAGATTGTGATGCTTTCGTCGTTATCCGTGGGCGGTACCGAAAATACAGTAATCCCAAGAAAAGCCAAGAAAAAGTAATTACAGTTGTCTCAAAACTACAGTAAGCCAAAAAAAAAAATCCATCTTTTTTTGAAAATTTTGAAAAACTACTGCAAACAGACACACAGATAGACACTTTCTTAACTACCGTAATCGAAAAAAACAGTAATCCCCAAACTACAGTAATACAAAAAGATATATTTTTTTCCAAAATTAAAAAAAAGTTACTGTTTCAAAATTTTCGGAAATCAAACTTTTAGGAAATGTAGCTGCTTTAAAGTTTGGTTGGTTGTCGAAAAATACAGTAATCTGAAAACAAAAATTACAGTGTGCTCCAGACTACAGTAATCCAGAAAAATTTTTAAAGAGAATTTTTCAAAAAATTACTGTTTCAAATTTTTTCAAAAATGGAAAAATGCTAATAAATTATTGATTATTCGATATGACACTTTCTTACAACCGTATTCATAATTACAGTATGCTTGAAACTATAGTAATCTGAAGAAGTTTTTGGTTTTTCTCGAAATTTTAAAAAAAATTTACTGTTTCAAAATTTTTCGAAAACTTTTTCAATATTTTAATTTTTGTTGATCCATACAAATACTTGAAGACCTTTTTATTGCGGTATCAAACAGTACAGTAATATCAAAAACGAGAAAAAGAATGATTACAGTATGTTTGAAACTACAGTAATCCAAAAAAAGTTTTTTCCAAAAATTAATGTTTCAAAATTTTCGAAAATTGAAAAATGCTAATAAATTGTTGATTACTCAATAAGTATCAGAAATTGATTTTTTTTTTTTTGACTATTTTGAACTACCGTAGTCATTGTCACAGTGATCCCCAAACCACAGTAATTTTTTAAAAAATTTTCAAATATATAGATTTTTGCTGAACACACATTCAAACAGACTCAAAAAAGTATCTAAAAATACAGTAAACAATCAAAAACTACAGTAACCCAAAATAAAAGAAATTTTCGAAAAATTACTGTTTCAAATTTTTCCAAAATTGAAAAATGCTAATAAATTCTTGATAGATCGATAAGTATCAGAAGTTGATATTTTAGACTATTTTGAACTACCGTAGTCAAAACTACAGTAATTCAAGAAATTTTTTATAAGTTTTTTTCCCGAAATTAACAATGAAAAATAACAATGAATCCAAAAACTACAGTAATCTTTAAATACTTGAACAATTTTTTTTCAGAAATTACAGTTTTTCAAAGTTTTTGAAAATATTGTTCGTATATTGTTTTTATTTAAAAAGAGACGCACAGATTACCGTAGTCCAAATCACAGTGATCCCCAAACTACAGTAATTTTTTGAAATTTTCAAAATTTTTTTAAAATTACTGTTTCAAAGCTTATGGTTTTTTTTTTGGAAAAGTGTATGTTTTGATGTCGCGGCCGTTAACTTCTCAACAAATACAGTAATCTCAAGGAAACCAAAAATATATTTACAGTAGTTTCCTAACTACAGTAATCCAGAAAAACATGTTTTCTCCGAAATTTTCAAAAATTACTGTTTCAAAAATTTTCGAAAAGTTGAACAGTTTTTCTTTGCTGCTCCCTTCAGTCAAAATTAAAATAATTCCAATAACTACAGTAGTTGTTTAAAATTTTCGAAAAATTTCAAAAATTTTACTCTTTCAAAATTTTCCGATTTTCGGAAAAAAAAGTTCATATTTGATCTTCCAAGCGCTATAATCCCAAAAAGCCAAAAAAGAACTACAGTAATCCGAAAATAGGTTTTCTCCGAAAATCTAAATAAATTTACTTTTTCAAATTTTTATTGGGAGAATTTCTAAAATTGGCAACGTTTGCTGATAAAATCTGGTACCTACATTCTAACAGACGCGTTTCTGATACATTACCAAAAAATACCGACCAGAAAAATGAATACAGTACGATCCAAACTACAGTAATCCGAAAAAAAATCTGAATTTGTGTTTAAAAAAATACCGTTTCAAATATTTTTGATATTTTTTGGAAACTGTTAAAACTGTGATGCGCCGGCACCTATGGGTTTTTTTCAGTACATGTCAAAGTTACAGCAATTCCCAAACTACAGTAGTATTTTGAAAATTTCGAAAAAAAAGGAAAAAATTACTGTTAAAAATTTCTAAATTTTCGAAAATTTTAGAGAGGTTCTTATTTTGATGCTTTGGATACTATCATTGTACGGTTTCTAAAAATACAGTAATCCCGAAAGGCCAAAAAGATGTAACTACAGTAATCCAAAAAAGTGTTTTGTTTTCCGAAAATTCCAAAAAAAAATTACTGTTTCAAATTTTTTAAAAGAATTTTTAAAATTGGCAACTTTTGCTGATAAAATCATTCTAACAGACGCGTTTCTAATACAGTATCAAAAAAAAAAACAAACCAGAAAAATAAATACAGTATGATCCAAACTACAGTAATCCGAAAAATATCTGAATTTTTCAAAAAAAATATACTGTTTCAAACTTTTTTGACATTTTTTGGAAACTGTTAGAATTTTGATGCGTCAGCCACTATTCCAGCTGCAGTAATCCCAAGTAAACCCGAAAAAGTGATTACAGTAGTCTCCAAACTACAGTAATCAAAAAATTACAAAAAAAATTTTTGCTGCTTCAAAAAAAATTAAAAATTTTGAAATATTTTGAAATTGCGATCGATCTCGAGATAAATTTTGTTTAGACAGACACACAGACTGACACTTTCCAACTACCGTAATCAAAATTACAGTAATCCAAAAAAAAAAATTTTCAGGACCAACGAATCGATAGATGTCTCAAGCAGGTTCCAGATACCTTTATCAATATGCTCTCCAAACAAAAAGAAATGTTTGGTAAGGCCTTATTTTTAGGCTTTTCAGGCCCTTTTTAGGCCAGTTTCCATCTATTTTGGGGTATTTTGGCTCATTTTAGTCCAATTTTCATGATTTTTTCACTATTTCTAGTCATTTTCAGCCTATTTGATTGTGAATTTTAGCTCAACAGTATCCTAAACTATTTGAAAAAGCCCAATTTTAGGCTTTTCAAGCACTTTTAGGCCAATTTTCCACCATTTTCAAGCTAAATTGGGCTGTTTTGGCTCATTTTCAGCCGATTTTTCCTATTTTTTCACCATTTTCAGTCATTTTCAGCCTATTTTTCTGTGGTTTTCAGTTCAACAATACCCGGAGCTGTTTGAAAAAATGAGAAGCGAATCTTCCTTAATTCCATCCACAACCACTGAGGTGATCACCAATGAGGATGGATCCACGACGACAAGAGTCAGGAGTAGCAAATCTTATAGGTATTGAGAAAACGGAAAGATTTAGAAAAAATATGAGTTGAAAATTTGGAAAATTCGAAAAACTTTAGTGTAGAATCATTTTTGAAAAATTCGGAAAAAATTTTTTTTTGGAATTTTTTTAACTTTTTTCAAAATTTCGAATTTTTGTGTTTATTAAAAAATAGTAGTGACCTAAAAAATTTTCTAGGCCATCGATTGGCCTTTAAAATCCCAAAATAAAAATTTCAAAATAAAAATTTTCCGGAAAAAAAGAAGAAAAGTGAGAAAAAGGGAAAATAATCCTATCGGAGGAGTAGAAAGGAGAGAAAAATCGGAATATATGATGCAAAACATTTTTACCCTACATACACACTTTGGAATACGTTTTTTCTTTGTTTGGTTGAAAAGTAGAAATTTTTGAAAAAAACTTTTTTCTTGAAAATTATTTTTTTTCAAATCTTCAAATTTTCTCTATTCTCATAGATTTTTCAGCATCAATTTTACTTTCATCGAAATCAGCTTGTCATTAGCTTCAAAATGAGCTCAAACACGACTAGGCTCCGCCCACTTTGAAGTGTTCGCTGGACACGCGACGCACGACCGCGACGCGCATTTGGATAATTAAAGTGGCCGGAGCATAGGCGTGTTTGGACTTGTTTTGAAGCTCTTAGTGAGCTAGACGCAATTTTAGGTGTTTTATCTTCGGAAAATTGCAAAAAAACTCAAATTTCGAAGTATTAAAATTTTTGATTTTTTGAAAAACTTTAAAAATTCATAATTTTCTCGATTTCTCGATTTTTCTTCAATTTTCAATTTTATTGTTGTCCTCATTGAATTCATATTGTTATTAGCTTTATAATGAGCCTAAACACGACTAGGCTCCGCCCACTTTGAAGTTTTGTCTGAACACGCGACGCACAACCGCGACGCGCCCAAAAAAATAAAGTGGGCGGAGTCTAGGCGTGTTTAGGCTCATTTTGAAGCTAATGGCAAGCTGAATTTGATATGCATTATTTTATGGTCGAAAAACCGCTAAAAAATCAAAAATTTCGAAGTTTTGAAATTTCGATTTTTTCAAAATTTTCAAAATTCAGTTTTTTCTCTATTTTTCTGAAACTTCCCATGTTTAAGGTCATTTTTATTGAAACCAGCTTATCATTAGCTTCAAAATGAGCTCAAGCACGCGTAGGCTCCGCGCACTTTGAAATTTTAGCTGAACACGCGACGCACGACCGCGACGCGCGCACGGAAAATGAAAGTGGGCGGAGCGTAGGCGTGTTTAGGCTCATTTTGAAGCTAATGACAAGCTGAATTCGATTTAATTTGCTTAAATCGCTGAAAAGCATAGAGAATGCTAAAATTTTTTCAAAATTTGTAAATTTTCGATTTTCAAACAATTTTCGAAATTCTCCAAAACCTATCATGTTCGAGCTCATTTTGAAGCTCTTAACGCCAGAAATTCAAATTTTTAGCTTAAAAATTTGCAGCTCGCACTTCTCGCGACAAGAAACCTATGTGAATGGTGTGAAGAAAATGTCAAAGACCAAATTTCGAGCATTTGTGGAGTATCAGGTAATTTTTTGAAAGGATTTTCAGAGTTTCAAAATTTTCAGACAATAATAAAAACGGATTTTTCAATTTTCAGATTTTTCATTCAGAACAAAAATTGAAAGAAAAAAATCTGAAAAATTTTTTGGAAAATTTTTGAAACAGGAAAATTTTTTTTTTCAATTTTCCAAAATTCTTCTAATCTGAAAATCAAACTTTCTAGACTAAAATTTTCAACATTTTCCGAATTTCAGGGTCCCGAAGGCGGTTTCCAAGTGAAACTGTCCGATTCCGATGAGTTATCCGAGGATGAGCTAGAGGAGGATGACACCAAGAGTCAATCGTGCATTTCTGAAATTCATGATTCGGATTCTGAAATCACTTCTGGACCATCGTCAGGTACTAATCTGGAAAAGCGATATCAGAAGGCATGGTATGCGGCGAAGGAATTGGTCGATTCAGAGCAGAGATATGTCGAAAAATTGAAATTGTTGGGAGATGTACGTTTTTTCTTGGTTTTTCAATGGTCTAGAAAGAGATTGTAGGTCAATTTAACATCAAATTTGTATTTAGCACATTGAGAGCTTTCAAACGAGCCTAAACACGACTAGGCTCTTATTTCGAAATTTAAGCGGAGCACGCGACGCAAGACCGCAACGCGCCTGAAAATTTAATGTGTGCGGAGCCTAGGCGTGTTTGAGCTTATTTTGAAGCTCTAGATGAGCTCAGGACAGTAAAAACAACAAAGTACGAAAATACAGCTTTTGCGTTCCAAAAAATCGAAAATTCTGAAATTTCCGGATTACTGTATTTTTCTTATTGGTAGTAGTCTGAGTGTTTGAAATGTTTGATAGATTTGTGTAGGACTCAATAAGAGCTTCAAAATGAGCCTAAACAAGACAAGGCTCCGCCCACTTTCATTTTTGAGGCGCGTCGCGGTCGTGCGTCGCGTGTTTTTTAAAAACTTCAAAGTGGGCGGAGTCTAGCCGTATTTGGGCTCATTTTAAAGCCAATGACAAGCTGGTTTCAATAGAAATGATTGAAAATCGAAAATCCGAGAAAAATAAAGAAAAATCGGAATTTTGAAAGTTAAAAAAAATCAAAAATATAAAAAGTTTGAATTTTTAGTTTTTTTTAAAAGAATTTTTAAAAATGCAGCCAATTTATTCAAATTCAACCTATTGAGAGCTTCAAAATGAGCCTAAACACGCTTAGGCCCTACTTTGAAATTTCAGCTGAACACGCGACGCCCGACCGCGACGCGCCCAAAAAATTAAAGTGTGCGGAGCCTAGTCGACTTTAGGCTCATTTTGAAGCTAATTGCGAGCTGATTCTTATAAATACCACAAAATTTAGAAAATTTGAATCTAAGACCGAGAAATCAATGTATTCTCTTCCAGACATTCCGAAATCGTCTAATCAAAGAAGAAGTGCTGACCAACGACAAAATCACACGTCTCCTTGCCAATATTTCTTCACTATATCAATTTCATAACACTCACTTCCTGCCCCAACTCATGATTTCGATAAGGGATTGGCATACGACGAAACGGTAGGTAGCGGGGTACAGTACTCTCCACAGTAACTCTAGAAACCTGAAATTCAGTGAAAATGATAAGCTTGACGGGAGAAATGTCCCTGCCAAATTTTAAGTAGCTAGCTGAATTTTAAGCCAAGTTATGGCGTTTTGAATTTTGGAGGTATGCGTTGCGGTCGCGTCGCGGTTAGAGCGAAAACTCCAAAGGGGTGTAACTTGCTTCAAACTTGACCAATTTTATTGAAACTTTCAGAGTTAACTGGGTATAGAACAAGCTTATAATATTTGTTAAGTGAAGCAGTTGCGTTGCGGTCGCGTCGCGATCCAAGCCAAAATTTCGGCAAGACGTAACTTGACTGAAAATTGAGGTAACAGAATGAAATTTGAGGAGAACATCAGCCATATCAATCGGCACAATTTTACTAAGTTTGAACCAGATAGCTCAATTCTGAATCAAGTTATGGCGTTTTGAATTTTTGACCTATGCGTTGCGGTCGCGTCGCGGTTAAAGCGAAAGTTTCAAAAGGGTGTAACTTGCTTCAAACTCGACCAATTTTGCTGAAATTTTCCGAGTTCACAGAGCACAGGATAACCTTCTAATCCGTGATAGCCTTCTCCCAAAAATTCCGATTTTCCAGAATCGCCGACGTCGTCAAAAAGCAAGCGCCCTTCCTCAAAATGTACTCAGAATACACGAATAACTACGATCGAGCGTCCAAACTATTTGAGGAACTAAAAAAGAAAAAGAAATTCACGGATTTGGTGAAAGACATTGAAAAACAAACCGAGTGTGAGGGACTTCCGCTGGTCCATCATTTGATTTGTCCCGTTCAGAGGGTTATGAGATATCAACTTCTTCTCCAGGAGTACAAAAAACATCTACAGCCAAGTGACGGGGATTTTAAAGATACTGTAGATGCGTTGGATTTGGTGTTAGCTGCTGCAACTCATGCTAACGAGATGATGAAGAAATTGGTGGGTTTTTTTGGAATTTCCAATTTTTTGAAAATTTCGAAAATTTAAAAACTTCTCATCTTGCTCAGTTATTCCCGAATTCGAATTGTACAAACAGTTTCAAATTCAGCTTGATTAGAGCTTCAAATTGAGCCCAAACACGACTAGGCTCCATCCACTTTGGTTTTTCTGGCGCGTCGCGGTCGTGTGTCGCGTGCTGACGAGAAATTTCAAAGTAGGCGGAGCTAAATCGTGTGTAGGCTCTTTTTGTAGCTCGTGTTGAGCTGAATGCAATCAAATTCGTTTTCTTCTCTTAAAATCGCTGGAAAAGCTGAAATTCCGAAATTTCAAAATTTTCGATTTTTTCAAAAATTTTAAATTCTCAATCAATTCGCTCAATTTTGATAAAATTTTAAAAATTACAAAATTTTTGAGTTCAGCTCAATTTTAGCTTCAAAACAAGCCAAAACACGGCTAGGCTCCGCCCACTTTGAATTTTCACAACCGCACTGCGACGCACGACCGCGACGCGCCCCAAAAAATGAAAGTGGGCGAGGCCCAGGCGTGTTTAACCTCGTTTTGAAGCTCTTGGTTTGCTGTGTCAGAAAAAAAACAAATTCGAAGTTAAAATAGGAAAATTGAAAGGGTTACTGTAGTTTTCCAGGTGGAACTTAGAGACGCTAAGATATTGATAGTTCATTTTGAAGCGTTTGACCTTCCAAACTTGATTTTTTGAACAAAAAAAGTCAGAGAACACTTTTTTGTCATTATTGCTCATCCTTAACTAATGTACTGTGTAGCTTAGACCAGGCGACCACTTGTATAGCAAAGGGGGCGTCGGCTTTTTCTATGTGTCACTATTGCTCATCCTTAATTAACTCATCTTTAATTGAAACAATATTTTTTTATTTGAGTGTGCGCGTTTCTCTGCGTCTCCTTTTTTATGTGCTTCCTCGTTTTTTGTGGGCGGAGCCGTGAATGCTTTGTTTGTACTCTGAGGAATCCATCTTGTTTATATATCCCAAAAATTTAGCATAACTTAGTTCATTTCCGTTAAAAAATTTTTTAAACATTTTCATCGCCTTTACCGCTTCAAGAGCTTCAAAATGAGCTCAAACACGACTAGGCTCCGCCCACGTTGGTTTTTCGGCCGCGTCGCGGTTGTGCGTCGCGTGCCGAGGTGAAATTTCAAAGTAGGCGGAACCTAGTCGTTTTTGAGCTCGTCCTGAAGCTCTTGTTGAAGTGAATTCAATCAGAAGTGTTTCATTGCTTAAAAATCGTTTAAAAAGGTGAAATTTTGAAATTTCTAAATATTCGATTTTTTCAAAAACTTCAAATGTTCCTTCAATTCGCTCAGTTTCCTTTCAATTTCGGTTTTCTTATCAGTTTCAAACTTGACTGAAATTGAGCTTCAAAATGAGCCCAAACACGACGAAGCTCCGCCTACTTTGAAAATCTCCCAAAGACACGCGACGCACGACCGCGACGCGCCCGAAAAATGAAAGTGGACTTAGTTTAGTCGTGTTTGGGCTCGTTTTGAAGCTCTCAACGTGCTAAACAAAAAACAATACAAATTAACGCAATATCTTGAAAATTCAAAGGGTTACTGTAGATTTCCGAATGGGTATTTCCAAGCGGGACCTGCTTATACTCATATTGGAGCTCAATTTGAAAATTTTTCACTCAAATTTTTTCAGGATCGTTTCGGAAAAGTTATCGAAGTCCAAGAGCAACTCGGCAACTCAATCTCCCTAGTTTCCCCAGGACGGGAACTTTTGAAATCCGGATCAATTCAAAAAATCTCGTCGACCACCGAAAAAACGGAAGAGCGATTCATTTTCCTATTCAATGATTTGGTGATTCTGGCGAGTGAACGAAAAATGATTGGCGTTTCAAAGTACAAGTTGAGAGCAGTTTTTAGTGCCAGTCATATGCAGGTGAGCTCGAAAAAACCTGAAAAAAATGTGTTTTTTTCTTAAAATTTGAGCATAACCATGTTAATTTTCGTTTGAAGCTGACGAAAACGTGTTAATCTGAGTTATCTTCCCAAGAGCTTTAAAATGAGCCCAAACACGACTAGGCTCCGACCACTTTGGTTTTTCGGGGGGCGTCGCGGTCGTGCGTCGCGTGTCCAGCTGAAATTTAAAAATGGACGAAGCCTAGTCGTATTTAAGCTTATTTTGAAGCTCTCAGTAAGCTTGATCTGATTAAGTTTGTATCATTCTGCGAAAATCGCAGAAAAAGCTAATATTTTGAAAATTTTGATTTTTCAAATTTTTTTAAATTTTAAATTTTTTGAAAACAAAAAGCTGCTTTTTGATTTTTTAAAGTTTTTCACGGTTTAAATCTCTTTAAGAGCTTCAAAATGAGCCCAAACACGACTAGGCTCCGCCCACTTTGAAATTTCACCTGTGACACGCGACGCACGACCGCGACGCGCTCGAAAAATTAAAGTTTGCGAGCCTAGGCGTGTTTAGGCTCATTTTGAAGCTCTCATTGAGATGAATTCGATTTTGTATAAATTTCTCACATCTACCGTATTCCAGGTGTGCGAGGGTGACAATTTGGAGCGAGAACACTCATTCTACCTCCGTGGATCCGATGGGACCGGACCAAAACGATGTGTGGAACTTTTTACGCCCACGCAAAAAGAGAAGAATGAATGGGTCGATTCGATTTTCTCGATAATCGATGAGGCCAAAGTCAATAGTTCCATGTTTACAACGAGTTCGGTGAGTTTTGGAATACGGCTGAAAATTTTGGCTGAAAATCACTGATAATAGCTAAAAATGGCTTAAAATAGACTGAAAATTAGTCTCAACATACTGAGAAAATTTGACTCAAATCGGTCAAATTTGAAGCGAGTTATACGCCTTTGAAGTTTTAGCCGCGACGCGACCGCGCCGCATAGGCCCAAATTTGAAAACGCCGTAACTTGGCTCAAAATTGAGCTAGCTTTTTCATATTCGGCAAGAACATAGCCCTTGTGGAAGTGATTGTTTCCGCAAAATTTCAGATTTCTGGGATTACTGTAACCTGGGAAATTTTCAGAGAAGTTCAATCAGCGAGAACAACAACAATGATAATTCGGTGGAGTCGAAACACTGTGCGGATTGTGATATTGAATTTGGGTGGGTTTTTTTATTGGACAATTAGGAGTGATTGGCAGTCAAAAATTTCTTATCAGAAAATATCAGTAGAATGTTTAGAAGGAAAAAATTGAAACAAAAAATTTTTGAAATTTTTCGAAAATTTCTTCAAAAAATCGATTTTTCTGATATTGCTTTGGATTTTTGTTGCAAATAAACACAAAATTCGTATTTCTCATGAAAAACTAGCCTAGAAAATTGGTTTCCCGAATCGAAAACGCTCATGGTCTAACTTTCCAAATTGTGGCCTAGAAATTCCAAAAACTCGGCCACCTTCAATTTTTCGGTTTTTCATAATTTTTTGGGTAGTTTTCGATGAGAAACTTGATTTTATTAGTTTTAACATGTAAAATCAAGCATTTGGAGTCAAATGAAGTCGATTTTTGACTTTTTCAAAAAAAAATTGACTTTCAGATTTTTTGAAAATTGATTTTTCTGGTATTCCTATGAATTTTCGTTGAAAATAAACACGAAATTCAGTTTTCTCATGAAAAATTCAGCCTAGAAAACCAATTTTCCGACTAAAAACGCCCATGGCCTAACTTCAGAAATGGTGGCCTAGAAATTTCAAAAGCTCGGTCACCTTCAATTTGTTTGTTTTTTCATGGTTCCTAGGGTTGTTTTTGATGGGAAACTCAATTTTTATAGTTTCAACATGTGAAATTAGGAATTTGAAGCCGAAAATTCGAAAAAAAAGTGAAAATTTCAGTTTCCTGTCGCGCGGCTCAAAATGTGTGAAATGTCGTCGTCGTTTATGCAAAAAATGTTTCGGTCGTCATCGAAACGAGTCGAAAAAGAACAGAATTTGTGATACATGTACTAAAAATATGGATCTGGACGGAATTCCAAGAAGTTTCTCGACCCAAAGTCAAACGGAAGGAAGCTATTGGAGACGCCCGCCAAGGGACCGGGAATTTTGCATGCCAGTCAGATTAGGGTGAGATTTGAGAGGAAATGGACTGGAAAACTGGAAAATTCAAAAAAGAAACTGGTCTAGAAAGTTGAAAAACGCGAAAATGTGAAAAAATTTTACTGTTTCAAAGTTTTTTCTATAATTTTTTCGAATTTTTCAAAAATTCTATTATAGTGAAAATTTCCCTTTTGAGCATAATTATATCAGTTCGACCGAAAATTGTCAAAAATAGACTGAAAATCTTAAAAATTCGCGAAAAAATGAGCTATAAAGTTGAAAAAGTTAAATTTTGGAAACATTTAAAAAACTCTGTTTCAAAATTTTTTAAATAATTTTTTTTTGAATTTTTCAAAAGTCTCAATGCATACGCATATTTTTTAACAACAATGAGATACGCTCAAAACACTGAAAATCAAAAAAATAAAATTTAACCTAGAATGATATAGAAATAAAAAATAATAATAAACCTAATAATATAAAATTAAAAATTAAAAAAATAAATGAAAAATGATAATAATAATAATAATACCTAATACTAATAAATTGAACAATCCCCAAAATTATGATTTAGAAAACCAAGAAATTCGCAAAAGGATGATAATTTTGAAAAAATTAAAATCGCTGTTTCAAAATTTTTTGAGAAAATTTTCGAGAATTTTTAAAAATCTTAATTTTATGACAATTTCCGTTTAGACCATAATTATATCAGGTCGATCGAAAATTGTGAAAAATAGACTGAAAATTAAAAAAATTCATGAAAAACTGGCCTAGAAAAAAGAGTCAGTGGCTCCGACCCTTCTTTAATAAACTTATCAATCTATCTATCTAGAATACCAAAACATTGATAAAACGAGAAACGGATCGATTGAAAAATCTGAGAATAACGAGAAAATAGCATACTTGTAATCCGGGCCTTTGCCGGGCCTTCGCGGACCCTGCCATAACTTCTTTCAGAATCAATATTTTTGAACCAACTAAATCAGATATGATAGAGCTCCACGAGTACTACAAAACGGTATTATTTGGAATACTGTATCTTGTCTATGAACAAAGTTACAGATCACAACTGCTTTTT